CAAGATGGTCCCAAAGGGGTTTTTTCAAAAGGCAACTGGACTTTCTTCGGCTTTTTTGGCTTGAAAATGTTTAGCTTCTCATCCAAGAAGCACAGAAGATGGACTGGGGGGCCTGATTGGACTTGCCACCTATGAACAGATTGCCTGCACAGGTTGACTTGTGTGGACAAATAGAATGAAATGTGAAAGCACAAGTATATTTTTCTCAAGATGCTGGCTTTCAAAATCCAGATAGTTGTACTGTCTGAGCCCTTTGAGGTCTTTAGCATAAATCATCTCCAGCTGAGACAGGAACGTTGTGGTCTTGTGGGGCTTGGCTGAGCATTTGGGGAAAGAGCCAGACGTCTAGGAACATGGGGCTGTGCAGCAAAGGCCTGAGGAAGGAAATCCTTCTCCCGGACTCACAACCACACTAGGAGGAGTCCCCTGGTTCCTTTCCAGCTAGCGTGTCTGCCTTATGATCTCTTCCATGCTTGCTGGTTTGCACACCTGCCATTTCCCCCTCCACCCTCCCTTCTTCAGGCTTCGCGCAATAAACAGAAAGAAGCAACTGAACTGAGAAGGAAGGCAATAAAGGAAAAGGCGAAGAAAAGGAAAGAACAGGAGACTCAGAGGGGAAGGGAAGGGGAAGGGAGGAAAGGAAAAGGTCCAATAAGAAGGAAAAACGGATTCACTTCCTCAGAGGCTCTTGAGGGAAGTCATTTATCCCATAAGCAGAGCTGTAAGTGAAGACGCCCATTATCCGCTCATGGACTCCCCTCGTGAAATACAGTATTAACTCTCCAAACGCCTCGGAGAAAATGGAAATAAAGCTGCACCTGAGGGGCTCTATTAACCGCCTTCCGGCGAAAGGTCCAGAGGAGGCGAGGGGAAGATGGTGGACGGGCGTCTTTCGGATAGGGCCTCCTCGCAAGGCGAATGAGTGAGGAGGGCAACGCTCTGACCACATTCACACAACGCGCGTTAAACAGACGGTCTGCCTGCCAAACTTGGCTGGCGGTCTCCTAAAAGAGGGGATCGCCTCGCGTTGTGGGCAGTGTCTGATTCAGTGAGTTCCTGGAGGGAGTCGTGACCCGGAGGGAGGAAGCAGAAGGGGGAATAGTAATAGTAATAATAAATAAATAAATAAATATTAATAATAAAGTGGGAAGGGACATTGGAGGTCATCTAGTCCAAGCCCCTGCTCAGGCAGGAAACCCTATATCATTTCAGACAAATGGTTGTCCAGTCTCTTCTTAAAAACTTCCAGTGTTGGAGCATTCACCGCTTCTGGAGGCAGGTTGTTCCACTGGTTAATTGTTCTCACTAAGGAAGTTTCTCCTTAGTTCTAGGTTGCTTCTCTCCTTGATTAGTTTCCACCCGTTGCTTCTTGTCCTGCCTTCAGGCGCTTTGGAGAATAGCTTGACTCCCTCTTCTTTGTGGCATCCCCTGAGATGTTGGAAGACTGCTATCATGTCCCCCCTCTTCCTTCTCTTCATTAAACTAGAGTCTAGTTTAATGTGGTTCTCAACCTTCCTAATGCCGCGACCCTTTAATATAGTTCCTCATGTTGTGGTGACCCCCAACCATAAAATTATTTTCACTGCTACTTCATAACTGTAATTTTGCTACTGTTATGAATCGTAATATAAATATCTGATATGCAGGATGTATTTTCATTGTTACAAATTGAACATAATTAAAGCATAGTGATTAATCACAAAAACAATATGTAATTATATATTGTGAAATATTTATTTCTAATTGCTGGTTGGGTGTCTTTGAACCAAACACCAGGAGACAGGGAATTCTAGTCCCGTCCTAGGCATGAAAGCCAGGTGGGTGGCTTTGGGCCAATCACCAGGAGATGGTGAATTCTAGTCCCGCCTTAGGCATGAAAGCCAGCAGGGTAACTTTGGGCCAATCACCAGGAGACAGTGAGTTCTAATCCTTGACACACAGACCTCATAAACCTGGGGAAAATGGGGGCTTAAGTTCAACAAGGTTAAAAGTTGGGTTATTTGCTCTAAAGCAGCCCCTCTGTCCTGTTGGGAAAGGCCGATATTCCCCCAGATTCTGTCCCTTTTTTCTGAAGTTTTGAAAAAAAGAAACCCAATGGAGGAACAGCGTGTCCCTGAGCATGTGCAGAGATCCCTTCCTCTACTACAGCTTCATCACCATCTTCCTCTCAAGAAATCTATCATTATGGAATTCCCCCCCCACACACCTCCAAGTGGGGCCCATTTTCCCACCACTTCTACAAGCCCCTCCCTCGACGCGCAACCGTTTTCCCATTGGCCCCCGCCCCGCCGCAACCCTAGCCACACCCACTAACTCCCATCCTTGCCCCGCCCCCGTCAGCATGACGCTGCGCGTGCTGGGCGAAGCTATGATGAAGCGCCGGGCGTTCTTCAGCGCGCTGGCCAGCAGGAAAAGCAGCGAGGCGATAGGCCACAACGGGAACGGCTCTCCGGGCGGACGGAACCGCAGCAGCACCAGCAGCACCTCCGCGACCAGAGTGGTAGCCAACACCGCCCCGGCGCACACGGGCAGCACCCTCCGGTCCCAGTCACGGCCTTCCATGGCGGCGCCTGCGTGGCCCACGCGCCTCTCTTCCGGCTTCGCTTCAGCCGTCCCTTCCCGCTCAAATCGATCAGCCAATCGGCGGCGGCAGCCACTCCTGCTAAGCCCGCCTTTCGAGCCGATTCTATCCAATCGGCGCTCTGACTTCGGAGACTTTCCTTGTTTACCTCAGCAACTTGCCTCGCTGACAAGCGTGTCAGGGATGCGATTCTAGCCAAGCGTTCAAACGATCATATTGTTCTTAACAGGCGGCCGTAAAGGCCTGCTATTGTATGGGCAAATGCTCTTCATCTCGACCTGTGTTTAAATCTGACTCCTCCGTCTTGAAAACGACCCCTGTGAAAGGGTCGTTCGACCCCCACAGTAGAGTCTACTGCTTCACCATCTTCCTCTCAAGAAATCTAACTCTATCATTATGGAATTTGCCCCCCCACCTCCAAGTGGGGCCCATTTTCCCACCACTTCTACAAGCCCCTCCCCCGACGCGCGACCGTTTCCCCATTGGCCCCGCCCCGCCGCAACCCTAACCACGCCCACTCACTCCCATCCTTGCCCCGCCATACCCAATTCCAGCAGCCTTTCCTTCTATGTTTTAGCCTCCAGTCCCCCTAATCATCTTTGTTGCTCTTCTCTGTACTGGCTGAGGAATTCTGGGAGTTGAAGGCCACAAGTCATAAAATGGGCCAAGTTTGAAGACCCCCTGCTCTTGATGGTTGATCATAAAAATCAGAAACTGCTCACCCCTTCAATATCTTCCTTATTCATTCTGAGGCGGGTTGTTATTAGTTTGATGCTCTTTATGCATGTAAACTTTTTTTGTTCCCCAGCCTATTGGCTTTGACCTTGACTTTTATTACTGGAACTCGCCGATCATTTGCATTTTTGGCTATCAGGGTAGCGTTCTCAGCCTAACGCAGATTATTGTGGTCTCTTCCTCCCTGTTTTAACCCAAACTTCTTCCGCTGAGACCGTTGGCACCGGAAAAAAACAGCCAATCTCAAAGTATTGGATCACCCAGCCATGTCATTGCGTCAGCAGTTGCTAAGTAGATTCAGTTACTACAGGAGGGATGCAGCTAGCGGAGTTTCTCCTGGCAGCTATGGAGAAGCTTAGTGGCGCCCCCTGGAGATGAAGAGATGCAACAAAACGGCAGTGGCGGGAATCTCGGCTTTTTCCAGGAAAAGAGGACCAACATCAAGCAAGGGGGAGGGAGTCAGTGGCAATTGGGGGCATCGTGGGAAGAGTTGAAACACGAGGCGAGGGACGGATCATCCTGGAGAAACTCTGTGTGGCGCATAAGAGTCGATAATGACTTGATGGCACACAATCAATTAATCAATCTATCGGCTGATAGAATCTATCGATCGATAGATGGATATCTATCCATCGATCGATCTATCGATCAATGCAGGGGTCTTCCAACTTGGCCCTTTTATGACTTGTGGACTTCAACTCCCAGAATTCCTCAGCCAGCGTGCCTGGCTGAGGAATTCTGGGAGTTGAAGTCCACAAGTCATAAAAGGGCCAAGTTGGAAGACCCCTGGATCAGTGGAACCGCTTGTTTGCCTTCAGAGGTTGTGGGTGCCTCATCAGTAGAGGTTTTTAAGAAAAGACTGGACAGCCCCCTCTCTGGAAGGGAATAGGTCCTCCTGCTTGAGCAGGTGGTCGGACTAGAAGACCTTCAGCTCTATTCTGATTGATCCCTCAATCGATCCCCTGCTTCATGACGGAGGCCGGAGAATAGGCGCCCCCCTCGCTCTTCGCCCCCCCCCCCGAGATCATCGCCCCCACTTGAAAGCGATGGAGGATTTGTGAGTTATCAACTCTGATCGTGTGAACGACAAAGTTTCCTGCTTTTCCGCAACAAGCAAAGCTTAACTGGCTGTGGGGTCTTCTTCGCTGAACTCCTTTAAGAACGTTTGGAGTCTCCTTCGTTAATCGGTTCCCCCCCTTTGTACTCCGGAAGAAATAGCGGAAGAGAGAGTGTGGCAGCTTATTTGGGCAGCGAAAACACAGCCCCGTTTGAACCCCACTTTACCCTGGGAGGGATCTCATCTACACAGGTAAGGAGGGAGAGCAGGGACGCCAGAGGGCAAGGGGGAAAGACGCTGCAGGAGGAGAGTTGGGGGACAGGCCGGAGGGGCAAAGGAAAGGGAGGGGCTGTTTGTAGGAGAGCTTGCAGCCTTATTTTACAGGTCGCCCTCGACTTACAACCATTCATTGAATGACTGTTCAAAGTTGCAAGGGCACTGAAAAAAAGGAACTTAGGACCGTTTTTCACACTTAGGATGGTTGCAGCCTCCCACGGTAACCCCAGATTTACACTCGGGTGCGTGACAGCTGCTTCATAGTTATGACGGTCGCCGTGTCCCGGGGGAGTCAGGCGGTCCCCTTTTGCCACCGTCTGACAAGCGAAGCCAACGGGGGGGGGGGGGGGCCGGCCCCCCTTAACAACTGTGTTACCAACTTAGCGGGCCGCAGCGATTCACTTCACAAGAGTGGGAAGAAAGGTCGTAAAATGGGGCAAAACTCAGCGAGCAGATGTTTCGACTTAGCAACATTAATTTTGGGCTCAGTTGTGGTCGTAACTCGAGGACAACCTGTATTATTTTTGAAAGAATTTTCCAGCACTGAGGAACCTTCAGAGCTCAACCTGTCCTCGGCTGCCAAAAGAGCTGCCAATAGAGTTGCCAATAGAGCTGGGAAACCTGCCACGGAGCAGCTTTTCTTTGGGGTGAAAATAGGGGCAGGGAGGAACTACCTTCCCCCTCCAAAGCTGCACCTGCAAGGGAACCCCCTCCCCAGTCTGAGCCTTTTCCAAGATTGTAGGCAGGGCTTCAACTCGCCTTTTTCGCTTTTGTTCTGATGGTCAAAGGCGCCTGGTGTTTTGGCCAGATCCTGCCTGCTTCTCTCTGTCTGCTTTGCTGTGTGTGAATCATTCTCTCTCTGTCTCTCTCTCTCTCTTTCTCTCTCTCTCTTTCTCTTCCTCCCCCTCTCTGTCTCTGTCTCTCTCTTTCTCTCTCTTTCTCTCCATCCCCCCTCTCTCTTTGTCTCAATCTCTCTCTGTCTCTGTCTCTCTCTTTCTCTCACTCCCCCCTCTCTCTGTCTCTGTCTCCCTCTCTTTCTCTCCCTCCCCCCTCTCTCTGTCTCTCTCTTTCTCTCCCTCCCCCTCTGTCTCTGTCTCTCTCTCTGTCTTTCTCCCTCTTTCTCTCCCTCCCACTTTGCCTCTGTCACTCTCTCTTTCTTTCTCTCTCTTTCTCTCCCTCCCCCCTTTTTCTCTGTCTCTGTCTCTCTCTCTTTCTCTCTTTCTCTCCCTCTCCCTCCCCCTCTCTGTCTCTGTCTCTCTCTCTTTTTCTCCCTCCCCCTCTGTCTCTCTCTGTCTCTCTTTCTCTCTCTTTCTCTCCCTCCCCTTCTCTCTGTCTCTTTCTGTCTCTCTTTCTCTCCCTCCTCCCTCTCTGTCTCTGTCTCTCTCTTTCTCTCCCTCCCTCTCTTCTCTCTTTCTCTCTTACTCTCTCACTATTTCTTTCTCTCTGTGTCTCTCTCTTTCTCTTCCTCCCTCCTTCTCTCTCTGTCTCTCTCTGTCTCTCTCTCTCTTTCTCTCCCTCCCCCTCTCTCTCTCTTTCACTGTCTTTCTCTCCCTCCCCCTTTCTCTGTCTCTGTCTCTCTCTCTTTCTCTTTCTTTCTCCCCCTCCCCCTCTGTCTGTGTCTCTCTCTGTGTCTTTCTCCCTCTTTCTCTCTCTTTCTCTCCCTCCCCCCTTTTTCTCTGTCTATCTCTCTTTCTCTCTCTTTTTCTCCCCCTTCTCTCTCTGTCTTTCTCTGTCTTTCTCTCCCTCCCCCCTCTCTCTGTCTTTCTCTCTCTTCCATCTCCCTCCCCCCTCTCTCTGTCTCTGTCTCTCTCTCTTTCTCTCACTTTCTCTCCCTCCTCTTCTCTCTCTCTCTCTCTCTCTTTCTCTCTCTTTCTCTTTTTCTCCCTCCCCCCTCTTTCTGTCTCTCTCTCTCTTTCTCTCCCCCCCTCTCTCTCTCTCTTTCTCTCTCTTTCTCTCCCTCCCCCCTCTCTCTGTCTCTCTTTCTCTCTCTTTCTCTCCCTCCCCCCTCTCCCTGTCTGTCTCTCTGTGTCTCTCTGCCTCTCTTTCTCTCTCTTTCTCTTTCTTTTCCTAACCACCTCTCTGTCTCTGTCTCTTTCTCTCCCTCTCCCCTCTCTCTGTCTCTTTCTGTCTCTCTCTCTCTTTCTCTCTCTTTCTCTCCCTCCCCCCTCTTTGTCTCTCTGTCTCTCTCTGTCTCTCTCTGTCTCTTTCTTTCTCTCCCTTTCCCCCTCTCTCTCTGTCTCTGTCTTTCTTTCTTTCTCTCTCTTTCTCTCCCTCCCCCTCTCTCTGTCTCTGTCTCTGTCTCTCTCTTTCTCTCCCTCCCCCCTCTCTCTGTCTCTGTCTCTCTCTTTCTCTTCCTCCCCCCTCTCTCTGTCTCTCTCTCTCTCTCTTTCTCTCTCTTTCTCTCCTCCCCCTCTGTCTCTGTCTCTGTCTCTTTCTCTTTGTGTTTGTGTGTGTGTGTGTGTGTGTGTGTGTGTGTATACAGCCAGTATACAGCCATCTGAGCTTCCTGGAGGTCTTCAGCATGAGTCCTTCTCTATCCCAGGCAGGAAATAAACTAGCTATCTCTCCTTTTTGCCTTCTCTCAGGCAGGAAACATTCCCATCCAACAGGGACAACTTCCCCTGATCACGTTTCTCAGGAAATGGTTCCTTCTCCCCCGATTTATGGCACAGAAGATGAGATTCAATCACAGCTGAGGCTCCAGCCTCCGTGAGCTCCATTTAAGAGACTAAATCCCAGGCTTGGAAAATATCTGGCTACGGCGGTTTGGTCATATAGAGACTCTCTGCGATTTAATTCAGGGAGAAACTGCTAGACGCGCACCTGTGTGTGTGTGTGTGTGTGTGTGTGTGTGTGTGTTTAGGGGGTGGGAGTAACCCAGGCAAGTGTCTCCCAGCCCGGCTTTAGGGCAATAAAAGGAAAGGAGAAACTGAACTGAGAAGGGAAGCAGGAAAGGAAAAGAAGAGGGGAGAGGAAAGAACAGAAACCACTAAGAAGGGAAGGGAAGAGGAAGAGCAAGGGGAAGAGGAAAGGAGAAGGGGAAAGGGAAGCGGATGGGAAAGGGCGAGAAGTAGGAAGGAGAAGGCGAAACGGACACGGGCAAGAAAGGGATGGGAAAGGGGAAAGGGGAAAGGATCCAACCAGAAGGAAAGGCAGACGAAGGGAGGGACGCGTGGAAACTCCTGGTCCCATCAACCAAGGCGGTCTCTTTAATGAAGATTCTGGCTATCCCCTGGTAGAATCCCCTCCCTTTAATAAACTCTCCGAAGTGGACGAAAGCGCCTCAATTGGAAGCCAAACCAGATCCTGAGGGAAAGACGGGCAGAAGGCCCGGGAGGAGGGGCTCGCTCGCAGGGGCTTCACAAGGACCATCGACCAGGGTTAACGGGCATCGCGGGGACTGCCTTCACACAACAGGCGCAGCCGGGTGGTTTGCGCACAAAACTCGGCTGGAGAGCTCCTTCGGGCGGTCGCTTTCTCTCTCTTTCCCTCGCGGGCCCCGCGGACTTCGGACGGGCGGAGAACTGCAGCGGAGCTCGGAGGGGGCGGGAGGGGGGCCGAAGGGGCGGGGCGAGGGTGGAGAGCGGCGCTCTCGTGGGCGGAGCGAAGGCTGACCCGGTTGCAGGTGCAAAGGTTCGTTGTCTGCGGAGCGTCTCTCGCTCCTGCGGTCGGAGCATTCCAGCCGGGGGCTGCGTGAGGGCGAAGCGCGGCTCCTTGGCGCGTCTCCCGGGGCTCCCGGCGGAAGGGAGCGGGGTGCCGAGCCTGAGGCTGCCCAAACACGCGCCCATCCCCTTCAGATCGTCGACCTCCGCCTTCTGCCGAAAGGTCCCCCAAAGCCCTTTGGGGCGAGGGAGAAGATCGATCGGAGGGCCTTACGAGAAGAATGAGCGAAGGCAGATACCGCAGTGGCTGCTTTCACACAACCGGGGAAACCAGGACGTTTGAGCGCAAACGAAGCCCGGTTGTGGGCAGCCTCTCCCTGGGACCCTTCCCTCCCTCCCTCCCTCCCTCCCTCCCTCCCTCCCTCCAGGACCCCGGAAAGACTGCAGGGGAGCAGCGCCCTTTTCTCTCTTCTTCGTGGATCCGGAGAATTTTGACAGAGTTGGACTTTTCTTGGCGGATCAGGACGGGACCAGTACCGAGTGCGGCACCTGAGCGGCTTTTTCCCGAGCGGACGGGGGCGCCTGGTTGGAGGGAGATGCCGCTGCCCCGGGCGCCCCTTTTGCTCCTGGGAGTTGCGTTGGAGTCCTTCGTGCCCGGGGCTTTGTGCGGTGAGTGTGCGACGGGGAGGGGGCGCCTATCCTGGGCTGGGTCTTTCTCTCCGCCATTGCCCTCCCTCAATCCCAAACTCCTTTTCCCACAAGGAAAAAGAATCTTCCTTCTCTCGCGCTTCAGCCAGCCTCGTTGCAAATCTTTAGTGACGGATTTGTAATCAGCTCCCCTTGTAGAGAGCAGAGAGTAAAAGTGAACAGAGAAATTTCAAACTTTAGCCCTCCGTGTTATCTTACTTCCTCGACCTGCCTGGGCAATGGACCAGGTCCTGCTATCCAGCTCCACCTTGATCAGCAACCTTTGTCCTTGCTTAGAAAGGTTTCTTCTATGGGGAGCGGCCAGGTCTTCCACTTGCTTGTCAACTTCCATGCAAACAGGGCCTCCCTGGCTCTTCCCAAGTGTGGTCTGGGGTCCCCATGGAGGTCAGGCCTACAAACAGCAGTCTGGGAACCTGGAGGGCCCAGAGGGGGTGCAGGAGTATCTTAGCCAGATGGGGTGACCCACTGGTTGGGGGGGGCTGCTGTGTGACAATAAGATGTTGGAGGGGATGAAGTGAAGAAACCCCCCCCCCCATTCTTCTCTTCTCCCTCTCCAAGGTCTCCCTCACACTCCCTGAGCTACTTCTACCTGCATCTGCCAGAGCCCAGCCAGGGGCTGCCCCAGTTCTCCATTAGGGGCTACCTGGACGGTCAGCCCATCAATCGCTATGACAGCCTCACCTGGAAGATGGAGCCTCTGGTGCCCTGGATGGAGGAGGTGGACAAGGAGAACTTTCTGGCCCCTAAATGGGTCTTCAGGGCTGACCTGCAGAAGTTATCAAAACTGGGCCACCGTGCTGGAGGTGAGCAGGGGCAGTGCCACCTTTGGCCTCCAATGGTTGCAGGGGACTTCACACACACACACACACACACACAAGGTTTTCTCCCTCACTTAGAAATTCTTCATGGCCTGACAAACAAACAAACAGGATTAATTGAAGTAAAAGATGTTTCTCCTTGTGTGATAAAGAGGGGAAGGAGAAATCTGATCTCTGGGAAGGGGGAGAGACTCTGAGGCTGTCTAGGGAGAGGAATCCTGGACCCTTTTCATCCACACCCACCCCCTCTGCCTCTCCTTCAGGGCTTCACACCTGGCAGGTGGTTTTGGGCTCAAGGATCTCGCAAGACGGGAGCAAAGGAGGGTTTTTGCACTATGGCTACGATGGGATGGACTTCATCAGCTTCGACAAGGAGACCCTCAGATGGGTGGCAGCTCAGCCCCAGGCCCAGAAGCTCAAGGAGGAGTGGGAGGATGACTCAGGATGGTCTGAGGGAAACAAAGACTTCCTGGAGGAGCCCTGTATTGAGTGGCTGCAGAGATACCTGTCCTACAGGAACAAGACTCTGCGGAGGATCGGTGAGTGGCAAAGAGGGTCTTCACTGAGCATGTTTCTGTGTGCTCCCCCCTCCCCATATGGTTTCTCTCCTAAACAGCCAAGCCATCTTTTAAAATATTGGTGGAAAAAGATCAGGAAGTATCCGACATCACGTTACAGAAGAAAAATAATCTTCAGTGCCCCCCAAAATAAGTACTTTTTAAAAAAAAACTGAGCAAGAAATTCATTCTCATTCTATTTCCCCAGGAAAGTCTTGCAAAGCAGAAGAAACGAATGTTTGGGTTGGAAGGAAATGATCTGCCTGTTCCTGATTTCCATCTGAACAACTTGAACAAATTCGATTTGGGGGCTTAAAATTGAATCAGTCCAACAAATTGGGGAATACGTTGGCCAATGTGGAAACATTACCCCAAATTCTATGTATCCCTTTCAAAACGTAATGTAAAGAACCCCAATGCCCCATTTTAGGGGCTCCCACAGGTTGAGGCAAGGAGAGGGAGCGGAGGGAGAGGATGGTCCAAGGAAGTCTTGCTATTTAAATCACCTTGCCAAAAACTCTGGAAATCCAGGGAATTGTGTTGTTGCTGTTTCTGCAGAGCCCCCAGTGGGGAAGGTGACCCTCAAGGAGGTGGATGACCACCTGGAGGTCCTCATCTGCCAGGCCTTTGGCTTCTACCCCAGGGAGATCCAGGCCACCTGGACCAGGGACGGAGAGGTCTGCAAGTACGGGACCCTCCCTAGGAACGTGGCCCCCAACTCGGATGGGACCTATTATGTCTGGCTCAGCATTGATATCGACCCGAAGGAGAGGGACCATTATCGGTGTCGCCTAGAGCACCAGGGCTTGCAAGAGCCCCTGGTCTTGGCTTTGGAGGAGGAAACAGGTGAGAGGCTCATGGGATTGTGACATGGAGAAGTGGATTTTTCACCAATGTTTGAAATAGTGTGTGTTGGGGGGAGGGCAGTAATTTTCTTCTGCACCATGTTTTCAGGTGGAGAGCAGGGAATATAGTCC